CCCTTCCCCCATGGAGAATGGCAGACCTGCAGGGTGCATACAAGTTACATAGTTACATAGATGATCTCTGCGAACTCACCAAGATCACTTGCACAAAACAAGCAGAGGCGTCCCCGCTGTACATTTAGCTCTGCTTGCCCAAAGCAGGGCTACATGTAGAAAACTACCCGCCCGGCACCCGGAAATGCATGTCCTGGGCATCGGGAGATAGGAATTCCCCACCCCTGCTGCTCCTCTACTCCCTGCTGCCCCAAGGCCAGGCCTTGGTTGGCCTTGTGGGAAATCCGGCACTGACCATATACTAATCACAACTTAGCTGAGTCTTGCCAGTAACTGGAAACAACAACTTATTCCATTTCTAGAGGTGAAACACAGTGTGCATAATATCATGGTCAGTGAAGACTAATAAGTATTCTGAGGCTGGGTTCACACCTGGGCGTTTTTCAGCGCTGATCGAAGCGCTGAAAAACGCTCAGCAAGTGAAATCCCATAAATTCCTATGGACATGGTTCCCACCTGGGCGTATTTCAGCCCGTGGAAACGTGCTGAAAAACGCCCTACGCCCAAACAAGTACGGGAGCTTCTTTGGGGCGTATTTCAGCGCGTATCGATTGTTATTCCCGATGGCTCGGGGTTAACAAAGTGGTAACCCCGAGCCACACTCGGGAATACAGCATAGGTCTTACCTTGTCCGCGATCCCCGCTGTGTCCTCCGGCAGCTGCCCTCTTCCGGGTTCCGTCCCTTGCGAGCGTCCGCGTCGCAGGGTGGCGGAACCAGCGGTAGGTTTGAAAGTTTAAAAAGAAAAACCCCGAAAAAAAGATAGAGAAAATAAAGGAAAAAAAATCATACCGCCAGGGATGTATAAAAACGAGCGTCAAACTCGCTTTTCACTGAACAAATGTGCTAAAAAACGTGCGGAAAAAATGAGCTGAAAAACGAGCAGAAAAAACGCACCTATAGTACGCCCAGGTGTGAACCCAGCCTAAATGATGAACATAATAAATTGCTACAAATATGGGACCTCCGGATACAACTTTACTACCCTGAAATGGGTAATTATAGTTTTAAATACCATCGGACAGCCAAGGTCCTGGAGTGGGGGGCTATTACTCAGACTTGATCTCTCCGCAACCCATTTGGAGGGTACAAGGAACAGTCCATCTTTGTTCCCCCTTACTCTCTTTTCCTCTTTCCCTTCCTTCCCCTCTTTGCTTTCTCCCCGTTCCTCCCACCACGTTCTTTGACGGATGACATTGTCTTTGAGGGTGACATTTCCTCATCTTTACAGACAACTACCCCCATACAAACATTTGCAACCAGTGCGCATTACCAATTCCCACTTAACCCTTTGTAATTTGTAATTGTTCATGAGCATATGTGACACGATGCCAACAAATTCTAAAACAAAAGTTTTATTCTTATAATCTCATAATTTCCTAGACTCATCCTAACGTTTTTCAGGTACAAGAGGTTAGTGCCACAGGGAGGACTTATCCAGCATGACAAGACTGATTCATATTGTACTTCATTAATATAATTACGGTAGTATTTATTTATTTTTTTATTAGGGATGCACCGATGCCGAGTATTTGTGCTTCCTGACTGGCCGGGAAGCCGACTCCATGCTCCCTCGTCAACATGGAGAATGGAGCTGGCTTCCTGATTGGCCAGAAAGCCGGCCCCATGCTGCCTCATCACCTGGTGATGAGGCAGCATGGTGTCGGCTTCCTGATGGTTCGGGAAGCTGGCCAATCAGGAAGAGTCATTACCCGCCCCCCGGCTTCCTGATTGGCCAGAAAGTCGGCTACATGCTCCCTCGTCACCTGGTAATGAGTGAGCATGGAGCTGGCTTCCCGGTTAATCAGGAAGCAGGACGGCGAGTCATTACACGCTGCCCGGTTTCCTTAATGGGACTTCCAGTATATTTATTTATTTATTTGCAAAAGCATTTTACTTGAAGATAAACTATTATATATGCAGCTCATACAATAAGCAGATAGGAAATAAAACATTTTCTTTACATGCGTGTGTGGAACATTGAGAATAAATATAATCAGTGTCAAAGAAACATAAAAAAGTGGGAGGTCAAAGAAGTTGCTCAGGAGGGGAACTGATGTTTTAGATATTAGAACGTGAACGTACGATCGGCTAGCTGGCACAAATAGCCATGAAACCTGTATTAATTTGAATCATATTACTACATATTGTTTGGGTTTTCAATTTTAGATTTAGCAGATATTAATGGGAGTGGAATTACAAGAAAAAAGGAGGACTTTTTCTGTGACACACAATGCTTGAAGCAAGATTCACTGGGTAGAGGAAAAACACCCTCCTTCAGTAAATCTCATCTCAGATATTTATCAAGTTTTTCTGCTTGCAAATCATTTTCCCAAAATATTAGCCTTCCAGGAGACCAACAGGCAGTGAGCGACTTGCCTATTCTCCTTTGGATCAGACTATACAGGTGAAACTCGAATAATTAGAATATCGTGCAAAGTTCATTTATTTCACTAATGCAACTTAAAAGGTGAAACTAATATATGTGATAGACTCATTACATGCAAAGCAAGATCATTCAAGCCGTGATTTGTCATAATTGTGATGATTATGGCTTACAGCTCATGAAAACCCCAAGAACCCCAAATCCACAACCTCAAAAAAGTAGATTATTACATGCAATCAATAAAACAAGGATTGTACATAGAACAATATCGGACCTCTGAAAAGTACAAGCATGCATATGTACTCAGTACTTGGTTTGGGCCCCTTTTGCAGCACTTACTGCAATTACTTTTGCACGATATTCTAATTATTCGAGTTTCACCTGTATAATACCACCCTTAACAATTACTTCTAGTAACCCCTAAACAGAAACATATAACTCTTAAGTCATTAAATATAGCTGCTTGCTTTGGATATGGTTTATTATATGCAAAATGTTAACATATTGTACAAGGAGTAATTTAAGAAGCTGAAGTTCCAGTTGGGGTATATGTAACACATGCTGGGGAAACAGAAATTCTATGTGGATATTAGGGAACACACAGTGTGCTATTATACCGTAATTTATGTTGAAGTAGAAGTCTTGTTGCTGCCTGGGGGCCAGGCACAGGGAAATCTATAATGTAATTACTTAGTTTGTCTCCTAATTCTCACACTGTCAGCCAGAATTATCACATGACATGTGTGCATAGAGCCACTAGACATCAGCACTAATCAAGCTGGATAGCTCCTGGCACTAACCTGTGCTATCAGGGTCTGCTAACATCCACAATGGAGCTTTCTGTAATGACTTCAAGCACAGCTAAATTACTCACATATCTATTCTTGCAAAAACTTTTCATTTGTAACAAGGAAGACAATGACTGATTCATTGTTAATTTCACTGCGTTTTCTATGCCTCACTACTTCATGAAGCAGCGACTAATCATTTTAATTAGTTTTTAGCTTGTTGTAGTGATGCTCTGCCAATTCTTACTGCTTGTACATAGAAGTGTATTATCAGTACAGGGCTTGCTAGAAAATATTTGCAAAATCACATACGTTCTGATTACCACAATAAACTTTACATTTGGAGAATCAACATATTAATTAATCGACAGAACCTTACCTGACCTGCATCTATGATGAACTTCAAGAGGAAATTTGCAGTGCAGTTGACATTTTGTTGTCATCCCTGGTTAATATGATTTATGAGTATTGTATCATCTGCACAGCTCATTGAGCTCTATTTAGATATATGCATCTGATCACAGACAACTGAGTGAATGTACAACAGTAGCTGCTTGTTTGTTACATCTGTAATTAAAGGATGCAAAAAAAGAATATTAAATCATTTTGATTGTATTTAGACGGAGCTATACACAAACCTAGTTGGAATGGGTCAGGCTCTACTGATCAGCTTAGTGCTGTCTATCTACTACTGTGAGCTTGCTGGCAAGAGAAGAGCACATACTCATTCATTTTCCAAATAAGCAGGCTTGGGGTCTACCAGTGACTGAGTTCACTTCTCTAAGGCTGGGTTCACAGCTAAGCGTACGGAATATTGCGTTTCGTGCCGCGCGTTTTTACCGCGATTTGCGGTAAAAGAATCATGCAACAAACGCGCGTTTCCGAGGGTTATCCAGCTGTATCCTAATGGATACGCGCGACAAATACGCCCCAAAGAAGCTCCTGTACTTCTTTGGGCGTAGGGCGTTTTGCATCGCGTACGTACGTGCTGTAAAACGCCCAGGTGGGAACCATGCCCATAGGCAATCATTGGTTTTCACATGTTGAGCGTTTTACAGCGCACAGAAACGCGCTGTAAAACGCCCAGGTGTGAACCAGGCCTAAGGCTCCGTTCACACGGGGCGATCTAGCATTCCTGCAGCAAGAACTTACGGATTCCTGTGGCAGAAATCCATTCAGATGTGGCCGCTGTACCCATTGAAGTAAATGACTTGGTGACAGCGGCCACATCTGTAAGCGGCAGTCTGCCTGCAAATGTACATGGTACGATTACATGCTGTTTAGAATAAAAAATTGTCGTTGGACCCATTACATGCAGTTTGGGATAGATGATTGTCCCTGTATGCAGGATAGAGGATCCTGC